AAGGAAGGCTCCAGCGTGAGGACCGGCTTTCTGCCCTAACAGGATCCATCATCACACACTCAGGGGCTAAGAGGGGATTTTGCTCTTACGCTGTTGAAACCTGCTCTCTAGCTTGTTCAGCGCAAGCTGGCACAGCTGCTCACCCTCAGCAGTGAGACATACATCAAAATTAGCCAGGCCCAGCCCTACCTCTGGAGAGAGGGGGAAAAAAAACACGTTAGAGGCACGGCATAGCACATTCACCAACACGCCCTGCGTCCTCCACCCGGGGTGGGAGTTAGCAGAAGAGCTCATCCGTCCCTCCCAGCTCAGGAGCATTGCTCTCCTTGGTGCTCACAAGCTGATTTTAGAGACAAATTCCACTAATCTAGTATTGCTGCTCCCTCATTAGATGGGAATTTGGGGGAGTGGCTCCGAGGGACTGCAAGGCAAGTGCCAGCAGAGGCCAAGTACTGCAGAGGCAGGCTGCAGCAGGGCCACGCACCAGCAGCCTACTGCGCCCTCGGTGACACGAAGCTGTAGGCTAGGGTACCCGTAGGACATCCTTTGATTATTACAAGCTGTTCCTGGAAGGAAGAACACTCGGGAGTTTCCCCAGCTCCTCAGTTATTGTCTTTCAAAATCAAATAGAGACTGCAAAGAGTGATAGCAAACCACGGGAGAGGGATGCAGAGAAGGTTATGGGCAAGAATTTCTCTAAATGCCAACAAGCTGGAGCATGAGTGCAGTCACCCCCAGGGTGTGGCTGGCCAACCCACAGGGAGCATGGCATGAGATCCTCTTGCCAAGACAGTGGCAAATGAGCAGCACCAGGGATGCAAAGAGGGGTTTGTCAACACTGCCTGAGCACCTTGATTCTTCCCTCTCAGCTGTGCCAGAGACTGGGTAACTGCTGCCAGTGCCAGCATCCAGAGAGTTGGTTTGGGACCACCTAGATGAGAAGACTTTAACTACAAGATATGGGAGAAATAGAGCTCAGGACATCTCTGAAGATCCCAAGGCTTTGCTGTTTGTGGCTGAGGAGGCTGCCTACTTTCAGATCAGGAAAGTGTGACCGACAGCTCTCTCCTGCCCCTCCTGCCACTCCCTCCAGGCCACGCTCTCTCCCTTTGGCCTCCCCACCCAGCAACGTCAGCCCTCCCACCTCGGAGGGTGATTCCTGGGAGGGGGAGCACCACTTTGCTGTAATCAAAGTGCACAGGGTAAACGAGCAGCGCTGCTGACTCCGAAACACTCACCTGCTTCTCATGCTGACCGGCCATTCCTAGAGCCCTAGTCTTTCCTGTGCACACAACCTCTTCCTTGTTGAATTACTGACACTACGAGTCAGGCTCTGCCTTGCAGACCTGTGTGACATGTCTGATGCAGCCCTGCTCCCCAGGTGTTAAGTATCACCAGGTTAAGCACGTGGGGCTGGAATATAAAATATTCAAGAGAATAGCAGCAGATTCTCTTGAATCAATGCTGACACCCATGCACAAGGAAAAATCTGCAACTCTCAGCAAGACTTTCAAGACTCCCCTGCTCCTGGTGTGCCACCAGAGATCACTCAGACTTCAAACTTCAGCCTCATATGTTCAGCCCTTCTAACAATCTTAGCTCTTGTGCTTATCAGTCAAGAAGAAAATAGCACATGTAACCCTACTGCTGCATGTTTGCCGCACAGAAACTGCCACACGCTCCTACAGTATCTCAGCAGTGTAAGACAACCTGAATCTAGTGAAAACTTGGTGTTTGTCACTCACCCTTGCAAGAAAGCACCTCTCTCCTCCTAGCACATTCAGAGTACAAACAGCAGCAAGTGCATCTCCAGGTATGAACCTAATCCAAGCCTGCTAGGATCCATAAACATGTGGATTACAGGGAAGATATAGCCAGGTCATTGCCAGTAGGGAAGCAAAACCTGAGATGGTCTTCCTCCAAGGGAAAGGAGCAGCATTTCCTGATCCTTGCAGGAATTCATTGCCCCTTTTTGCATGGAGCAACAGGTCACCTTGAAAGAAACATCTAAATCCCAATGGACCCTCCTCCAGGTGCAGCACTGCAGTTCCCAGATCAGCATGAAGGAGCTCTTCAGCCCTGGCAACAGGCATTCATTTTCTTGACCACAGTCCCATGCTTCTGGCTCAGCACACGCACCCGTTTCACCCAGTGGACAGTGGCAGATGGCTCAGTGGACACACTCTCTGTGCCCAGCCTCCATCCTTGAAGGATGGACAAGTAGCACATTAAGGTACTCAACTGACCTGGCTACCAAAACTGCTCGGGATGTCAGCACAGCTGGGACAAGTGGCCTCAGCACAGCAGAGAGCAGGCCAGGCACCGGCACTGCCCTGCCCCAAGTTTTTAGGATGCTGCAAGGCTAGAGGCTGGTAGGTCCGTGCTGGCAGTCCTGGGAAGCTCCACTCTCCTGGGAGACGGTTTCTGTGACAAGAGTTTGGGGGGTTTGGCAGCCCATAGGCTGGGAGCACTAACCAGAGGTGCCCACGTGTGGGAAAGGGAAGAACAGATATCTGTGCCCCCGATGGAAGACAACACTTAGCGGGGAGTAGCCCTGTATTTCCCTTGGATATAACAGGTGGGATGTACGTAGGCTTCATCTGGAGGATCAAGAAGGGCCTGAGACAGGGGTTATAATACAGTGGTGAGGGTTGCCATGATAGAAATACCCTTACTTAAGATTAGCATGCAACGTAAACGTTTCCAGCAGCAGCTGTTATTGATAGCTTCAAGGAAGGAGGTGTGAGATCACTTACCATGGGACACCCTGATCAGGAAGAGGCTGGCTTATGCTGCCATGCACACTATTATATTTTTTGAATGTAATTTGCATGACTGCTCTGCCACTCCATCAGCACGCTCAGATATTAGCAAGGAATTCACTTATAAAAGCCTTATATCTGTCATTCCTCTGTTCTTCCATGAACACACATAGGCAGTACAGGGTGAGAGATGAACTTACAGAGCCATTTCATGTGGAAACTGCAGCAGACATGGATTGGCATTCAGGAGCTGGCTGAGCTTCCTTCTCCAAAATAAATGCTTACTCATGGTAGATTTTACTGAATTATGGTTTAATTTCATAATATACTGTTGCTATGTCTGTACAACATTGTACAAAATATAATCAAGAACATTCAGCCCCACATAAATGTTTGACTGGCTGTCTGTGGATCCAGTGGCTTTGAGTCTTTGATCAAGACTCTCCCATCTTCTAGATGCTGTCATCAAAGTCCATTTGGTGTTACGGCCACAATGCTGCTATGTTTGTACAGTCATCATAACATTTGTGCCTTCCAGTCTCCTCCACTCAGTGATGGAATCCCCCAGCCATGGCAGAGGATCTTTGGTGGTACCTCATATTTCTGGTCAAACATGGAAGATTTTTAACCTCTTTTTGCTTTAGGCAAAAACATTGTAGCAATGACTTGAGGTAGGGGCAGCTATGTTTCAAAGGTGATACTAATGTGGTAGTTTAGGACTGATATATCCTTTTTTACAGCACTTGCTATAGTATGTTTAAGTACAGCATTGGTCTGCTCACACTAATACAACTGGTTCTAGATTTCCATTCATTCCCATCAATGCATTTTCAATGTGAGTAGCACTACCCCATGTTAGCCTAGTCTGGGAATTTATCTCTTGCCCAGATAAAACTATCAGCCAGATACTCTTTTCAACTTGGAGGTTAAAGGAAATAATATACCTAGCTGCTACTGGCAGTGGAATACATGCAGAACTGCTTCTACCAGAATTAGGAAACCTGCTGAGAATCATGTGGAATATAAAATGATTGCTCCGGATTAGAAAACCACACACTAAAAAGCCAGCTTCATAGATGTCTGATGTCAAGAAATATTCTTGTTGTAGCCTGACAGCAGGTGAGGGTGGTGGCTGAATGATCTCTCACACCTGTGTTCTCCACGGAAAGTTTAATTTTGGCCAGTTCTATTTCCTCTCATCTTCTGTGTTCCTGAAGCTTCTCATCTGTGTTTTAAAGGTCTAGTGTAAAGCCATGATCAATACAAAAAGACACAATTTTCTTAAAGCCTTTTTCCCCATTTTGTCTGCATTGTAGCATCATGTTTGACATGCAACTACTGGATCTGAAAAATAAACCACTCAGACAATAGTGCACATCTGCAAATAAATACATAGCCTTTGTATAGAGCCAGTTCTCAATAAAACCTTTTCCAATCACCAAGTAGTGCAGAGATGTTCTCAGGAAGGCCATGCTACAGGGTGGAGTCTGAAAATAAGAGAAAGAGAGGTAGCTCAATATTGTAGTGAGGGATAGTCTGTAAGGTATGGAAGGAGACCTGAAATGTTACGGGGATGAAAAGACCAATGTCTGCAAAAGGATTACAGGGGTTTAATCCATTTCTGCACTCATCTAATCCCACCATGGTATTCTCAATTACATTAAAAGGAAAATATTTGACTCAAAGTAAAGGATAGTTCTTAAAGAACTAAGTAAAATTGCCAATGGTATTTATCCATAAGTATATACAACATGTGTCAACTCAGTCAGCCAGACCGATTCACATCAGGATCCCCAATGACCCTATTAACTTACACCCCATCCTTCTCCTCCCTTCTCACTGCCTCTGGCCACCCAACACCAGCTGTTTCCTCACCACTTCACCTACCCTTGCACATCTTGCAGGATCTTTTATTCTGCAGCTCCTGCACTGTAGAAAAATCTAACCTAGATATTACCTTACCAAATGAAGATGGGATATTTCTTTCTAAAAGATTTGCTCAAGGTCAGCCAAAACCTCTGGCTCATGTAGATATCAAGTGGTTTCCTCATGTCTGCATTTTCATTTCTATTTCGGTTTCATACTTGATGACTAGTAGGTTAACTAAAAATATAATAAAACAGTCCAAATATACACTGCCTTATAGGAGATTGCTCTTGTAGGTAAATAAAGCTGTATGGCTACAAATTTTAAGGCATCTTGACAGCAATGACATCACGCAATGAAGAAAGAGAAGCATTAAAGACTGTTACCTTTAATAGTGAGGAAGGCTTTGCTGAATGCATGGCCCGATTCATTGGTGGCTTCTACCATATATTCTCCTTCATCCTGTTTTGTGACACCTGGAATGACCAGGGAGCAGACACCAAAGTCGTTTGTGCAAAAATAGGTAGGATCGTTGGAGAGGTCTCTACTGTCCTTGTACCATGTGATCTTTGGAGGTGGGTGGCCTCCAACTGCACAGCTCATATGGCACTCACTCCCCGTAGTCACCACGTGAGGCTTCAACCAGACAAGGAATCTCGGGGGCTGGTTTTGATTAACTCCTCTGTATTTCTGTGGTTTGACTTGAAATTCATCTGTAAAAAAAACCCCAAAAAACCCCAAAAAAACCCAACTCAGCAACGTACAAACACACATTGAGCTACTGCTTCACAGCAATAGAAGACAGGGTTTAAGGCATTGGTTTTCAATCACGGCACTTGGTTGTGCAGAATGTCTGGCAATCTGCAGATTGCCAGGGATGCCATGTACCTATGGATTGAAATCTGTGTTTCTTCTCAAATTACCCAGAATTTAACTTGGAAGTCAGAAACTTCAGTTTCTTCAAAACTTAAATCCTAGATTTTACTAGGAATTAATTTTGTGGTGAATGACATGGTATAATGGCTGGAAATAAAGGATCTCTCTGCATAATGTCCATGTAGAAAGGGCAAGTCTTCCCTGCCAAACTGAAATTTCTTAGGGTATCTCCATACATTCTTGTTCTGAGCAATTAAATGTTCACAGGAGGAGAGACGCATTTCAGGACAGTGTATTAGAAACAATAAAAAAACAAAGCATCACAACACAGAGATAAATACTCATAAAAGCTGTTTTACCCTTTGGTTTTCGAATTCTCCAAGGATGCACACTTTCAGATGGACCACTGGCTCCCAAGTCATTTTTTGCCACAACCCTAAAGTAGTAGTCCCGGCCTGGGATCACTTTGGTGAATGTGAACTTGTTGGTGTAGATCAGGTCACCCACAACATGCCACAAGCCCTTCTGTGATTCACGTTTCAGGACTGTGTAGTAGATATTACTTTCCCATTTCTCAGATGGTGATGGCTCCCAGGTTACTGTCACTGTATTTGGTACATTCTCTTCCAATCGAATAGGTCCAGGTGATTGTGGGATATCTGTCAGATGAAGCAATAATATCAAAAACGTAGGGAAAGTGGCACATTACAGAACCTTAAAAACTTTGAGTCCATTCTATGTCTGGGGGCTTACCAAACATCCTGGTGATTAGAAGGGACAAAATTTGATTCCTTCTCCAGTCACACAAACTCGTTTGCTATTAACTGAACTTCTGCTACATTACATCTGCATGGCTGAGCCTCCTTCCCTTCTCATCAGGAGGAGACAAGGGCTGGGACAGTTAAACTTTGTCACCTCTTAGGGAGACAGCATATGGAGTTGTTGCAGCTGTGACTAAACGCCCTACAGCCTGCTGATGACTGACCTTAGACTGTTACAAGAGCATGATCTCTCCTGTGGTTTGCACTACCCACCTGCGTGACCTTACCTTTTCAAGCAAGGAATACCTGGAAGCCAGATATAATTTTAATCAGTAGATTGCTCTGTCCTGCAGACCCAGCCAAGCGATATCACAAAGTGGCCAGGATGGTGGGAAATTGCACTCCAGTTCTCCCTGTGCCTGCATGGCTTAACTGCATCAGAGCTCACTGTGCCGAGCTCAGTCTGTTGCCTACTGCCTACTCGCAGTAATTCTGTATGTATTTATGGTAGTGAGTTACCTGTAACTTGAACTTGGAAACTGAACGTTTCTCTTTTCCCTAACCCGTTCTGGAGCTCAACAGTGTAGGTGCCATTGTCAGCGAATTCAGCTGCTCTAATCAGCAGCTGGGTGGTACCAGCTTCGGTGTTGACTGTAGCCCGTTTTGGAAGAGGAAGCCCATCCTTTAACCAGGTCACCAGTGGATCTGGAGATGCCTGTAAAGAACAACATGAGTTATAGCCCTTGTTTTGCCTCCACATTTCATCTTTACATCCTTATTTTCATTATCTTATCCCAAATGTATACCTATCTGACACAGTAAAGTAATATTTAGAAACAGGGATCCAAGGTGGATCTAAGAGTCTGGGATAAAGGGCTGCTCTAAAGTTTCTTTGTAGCTTTTCTCTTTCTCTGTGTCTTTTAAGAATGTTATTGTAGTAAGGTGTTCAGGTTAACTATGTCAAACAAGATGTGCTATATCAAGAGCAACAGATGACATCAGCAGTTAATATTTTCTAGTTTTAAAAAGATCTGCCAGGTTTGGGAATCAAAAACTTCCTCAAAGTCTTTATTTCCATTGAGCCATCTTTGGTCTCTGTTCTCCAAGAGATCAGGAGAAAGGCCAGCAAATACGCACACTTCGGCTTCATCAACCTCTTCTTGATATCCCAGGCTTTGTTGTTCCAAGCTTACATCAAAGCACACATGATTTCTGTCACTGCATGCCTATTTCCCAAGTCATATAGCTTAAGTCCTGGTGCTTAGTAAGACAAACAAAGTCAAGAAGATGTTGCTAGAAATGTTCCCCAAGGTCTTCTGAGGGAGTCGGAGGGAAATTAACTGATTTTTAAATGCTTATGTATGACAGATTAGTACCAGATGATGAAAATATTGATATGGTTGGATGGACAGCATTGTGCCTTGTTTGCAGAGGTTAATGAATGAACATAATGTCACGAAACACTAATGCCAAGAGTGACAGCTGAATTCCTGTTCATGTTTTCCTCATGCAGAAAGTATACACAGCACAGGTAGGTTAAAGGATTTGCCCAGTGTCTTGTAAACAAAATTCCATGCCAAGAAAACAGTAGCTCAGTTTTCATGTCTGCTATTGACTACAACAAAAAAAGCAGGTGGGGAATTCTTACAAACATTTGATACTTACTTCAAAGGGAATATTCACTCGGATGGTATTTCCTGCTTTTATAACCAGAAAGCTTTTCACTGTGTCATCTATTAGTAACCTGGGAGAAACTGCGAAAGACAATGATTACAATAAGTTGTACATTATTACAGAGTCCCTGGCTGACAAAATCCTATTCATGTGTTCAATATCCTGAATGCCTTTCCAACAGCTAGTCTGCAGGCTGTTGACAAACTCATAGTAGTACTCTGGAAAAAAAGGCTCCTTGATTCAGTACCAGAGTTTACACCTTTCAAATTTTATTACTAATTATTTATCACTATGACTAAACAAGGGGAAATGATGTAAAAATACATTCACAACAATGTTTGTATACATGCGATGTCTCAAACACGAAGAAATTGGCTCTTTGACAAATTTTACCCCATCACATGGACGATCTTTTGTGTAAAATGACATCTGGGGAAAAGGAAGTTGCAGTGGGCACTTATGAAATACACGTGCAGTGCAGAGTACAGAACTTCCCTAGGAAACTGGCCCAAGTTTATTAAAGATAGCATTTTTTAGTATTTTAAATACTTTTTCTTTCTTTTCCCTTTTCATCAATATAACTTACTGTTGTATTTAGCATTTTTCTAAAAATGCCAAATACAATAGTGCTAAATTGTCTTTAGCATTTCTACTTTGAAACTGAAAAAACTGCTTCCCAGATGGACTAACATATTTATCTATTTACTGATTGATTATAAAAGGAGTTTCCCGGCATAGGTCAAAAGCAGACATTTTCACTTAGGACCCAAGCTGAGGAAGATGAATTATAGAATAGAATTATAGAATAGAATAGAATAGAATAGAATAGAATAGAATAGAATAGAATAGAATAGAATAGAATAGAATAGAATAGAATAGAATAGAATATAGAATTATCTCTTACTTATGTATTTCTGCAATGTTCCCAAACAGCAGGAAAAAACCTCCAGAGCTACAGATAGTAATTAAAGATGAAAAAGTGAACTTTCAAACTATAAAATTAAAAAGGAAATTAAAGTTTACAAGAATTGCAATTTAAAAGAATGAAATAAAATGTTTAATTACACAAGACTGTATAAAAAGAGACTGAAAACTCTATTTTCTCCTTAAAAGAGCACGGGTAGGCATAAGGTATGTGTGGTTTCTGTCTGGTGATCATGATTGTGGTATAGCTCCTCACAGGGGGCAAAATGTAAATCCAAGGAGAAAATAAAGTTTTGGGGGTTCTTTTATCATAAAGAGTCTTTAACATGAGCTGAACACTGTGCATTGCACGTTTCTTCAGTTAAATCTTCAGAATTTCCTGATGAGGTGACCAAGTAAGACCATACTCTAGAGGAGCTACGTCCTGCTACAGTCTGGCACTTGAAATAGTCTGGCACTTGTCAGAGTGACCTACAGACCTCACCTGCATGCCGTTACCTATAGAATGACCTAGTTCATTCTGAAAGCAGCTCACTTTGGCTTACCCACAGGGGAAGGAGCTTCGAGGTGAGCTTCAAGCTCTGCAGGTACCCCCGGGCCACCGTCATTGAGGGCTCTCACACGTAGGAAGTACATCTCCTTGGCTTGGAGGCCTTTAACTGTGTAAGTGGTCGTCTCTATGGGAAGAGTATTGCATTTGGTCCAGCTGAGGTTCTTAGAAGACCGCATCTCCACCTCATAGCCTTTCACGTCGCTCCCATCTTTTGCTTCAGGTCTCTTCCATGTCAACGTGACACTAGTGCTGTCACTGCTGCTCACTTTAAGGTCCTGCACTTGACCTGGAGATTCTGAAAAGAGGAATTTTATTTGAACTATTTTTCTAGGATTTCTGTCCCCTCTTTTCAGTCACTTCCTGAGATTCCCCAACATTCTTGAAGTGCACTGAATATCCACCCTGCTGTCTGGCCTCCACCTTGTCCCAGTTCTTCAAAGCTGGGTCCAGGTGCCTGCTCCTGCCAGGCACACAGTACAATCTGCAACACTCCTGAAAGAGTCTACAACCCATCCTGAATACCACACTGCACGTAACTCCCACACTGCACGTAACTCCCACACAGGGAGTCTGCCACATCTTGACTTACACATCACACAGGAAATCCTCCCATTCCTTCCTCATGTTGACAGCGTATTCTCAGCCATGAAACATTCCCCAATTATTTGATCTTTGTCTTCACATACTTTTACAATGCATTCAAAAACATGCCTCTCCACACTAACATCATCGCTCTACATTCAGCTGTAAGTATGGCCAAGCCAGAAGGACGGGGGGCAGTGCACTTACTTGTGGAATCCCGTGCAAAGACAGGCTGTGAGGGTTCACTGGCATCTCCTATGCCAGCAGCATTGACAGCTGACACACGAAATTCATACTGCAGACCTTTCTTGAGACTGGTCATTTTCAGCTTCTTGTCTGCAGAAAGAAAAGGATCATGTTGGCTCAGGTAAGCTGTTCCCCAAGCAGGAAAGGGTGAGACAACAATGCTGTACTTTACTCCACAGAGAACTGTGGACTGAGTTAATTCTCAGGAGCCATGTATAAATGCTGTCACTGATTCCCCTGCCCTTCCCTATCCAAGTGCATATGTACTTCTGGGATATGTTCCTTTCCTGAAAGGTTGCAGAGAGGGGGGATGAGTCTCTGGAGCCAAGGAGCCAGCGCCAGGCCCCAAGGGAATGGCCTCAAGCTGCCCAGGGCAGGGTCAGGCTGGCTCTGAGGAAGGATTTCTGTGCAGAAGGGGCTGTTGGGCGTTGGAATGGGCTGCCCAGGGCAGAGGGGGAGTCCCCATCCCTGGGGGGGTTGAAGAGTTGGTCTGACCCCACGCTGAGGGATCTGGGGGAGTTGGGAAGGGTCAGGGTGAGGTTCATGGTTGGGCTGGAGGAGCTTCAAGGGCTTTTCCAGGCCGGAGGATTCTGTGAATCTGTGATTCTATGTTCATTGTATTGCATTTCAGACCAAACAGCACTTGAGAGCTATGAAGTTAGAGAAAGGATAGATACTACTCTTCCTCATGTGATAATCCTAAACTCTTCTATACCAGGTAAGAGCACTAGCTGCACCTGGCAGATACTGCTAGCTATAGCCAAAACACATTGTGGAGATCATACACATCACTTGTGGTTTTTTATATTCCTTGCATGCATAAATTCCTGTCTGCCAAGTTTCTAGCACAAGGACGGAGGACTAGTTCTGCATATGAAGACTTTAGTTCCAGAAATTTGAGCCATCAGTTTATCTTTAGAGGAGCTACATCCCAGGCTGCAGCAGTGAGCTTCTCTGCACTCTTCTCCAGCCATACGCTTGCACACAGCCTAGAAAATTTCATAAGCCTCCTCCCAGGCATTCAGCTGTATATAAACCCAAGAGCTGGCTCTGCTATGGCACAGCCATGAAACCTTAGTTATGAGACAAATGTAGTTGTAAGAAAACATATACACTAGAGCTGTGAAAGATAAGAAGGTAAAACTTCAGACAGGGGTAATATGTTTGCAACGGGGACAGTCAGCAGCTCAAAAAATCCAGAAGAAAAACACTGATGTGAAAAGGTATAAGATCCTAAGGTGCTCCAGGGTGCCCCAGCTGACCTTTTTACCTTTTTCAAGTCTTCCAGTGTGTTCCAGGATTGAAGCTACTTACCTGCTATAGGCACGTTGTTGACTGGCAGCCAGGTCATGGTACCCTTCTTGCGTTTTTGAACAATATATCCCACAATTTTGGAACTGCCAGTTTTACGCGGTGCTTTCCAGGATATTGTGATGGTGTCTCTGCTGGCACTAACAATCTCAGGGGGATCTGGGGCACCAGGTGAAGCTAGAAAGAGATTAGTTTTTCATGACTAGCAGGTATATTTTTACTGGAAGACAAGGAAGTGTTCTGTATAGTTTCTTCTTCCAGTTTCCCCAAGGTATTCGTATGGATGTGTTCTGAAAACCTGACTGAGACCTGAAGCTGTGTATCCTATTCCCCACACAAACAGGATCCAGTATGGATGTCTGTTTGTGAATCTTGTTTTCATGAAAGACCTCCTGTCATCACGACTGACCGCTCCACTGTCAGTCTATGGAGTGAGGCATGTCATTCTTATATGGTAGGAAAAGTCAGCATTATTCTTGCTTTTAATGACAGACACAGGAACAGAATGTATTTTCTTAGCCCTGTGCTAAAGCATTCAAAATACATAGGGCTTCTCATAATCATGAATAGAAATAGAATAGAGCATTGCTTGCTTTCTAATACTACATTTAGGCTCACGACAAATCTGTTTGGAAATCAGGGTAATGAAGTGAGCATGCTGAAAAACACTGCACATACACCACACTCCTTTGCCTGTAAAGAAAAGGCCTCATGTGTTCCCTTGGTAGCCACCCCAGGAAAAATTTCCTCTGATCTTGATGCATATTGCATTTGCCCCATGAATCTTGCTTTCCAATTGAGAATGGAGCATAACTGAGAATGTAATGCCATCTCACTCAGCATCATCAAAGCCTACAATAAACTTCTAGTCTTGATGTTCAATCTCCACCGACTCGTGTGAAGACTTCACAGCTATGATTCCAGTTTAGTTCTGTAGCAACATGCAAAATGCAGTGAGCTTTCTTTGATGTCAGCTTTGATAATGTATTTCCCAGATGGTTGTCAAACACAGTTATGAAAAGTTCTTCCTTACCTTTACTGACAGCCTTCACTTCATCTGATTCCAGCGCATCACTAGTTCCCTCAGCATTCACAGCTTTCACCCTGAAGTAGTAGATCATGTCTTGTTCCACTTTGTTAGTAGTGAAGGTAGTACAGCTCTTGGGCACTTCTCCCAAAGTCACCCAGTCGTTCTTGCCTACCTGCTGTCTCTCGACAATGTAGCGTTGCACTGGTTTGCCCCCATCATCTTTTGGGGGTTTCCACTGAATGGTGATGTCATTTGCAGAGCTTTCTACAATTTTGAGGGGTCCTGTAGGTGGCTGTGGCTTGTCTGAAAAGATGAACACAGAGAGACTATGAGTTGGCTCCAAACCCAGACATGCTCCTGGGTTTGGAGCAGATGGTGTCTCTTGCTCATGAGCTGGGAGACTCAGTTTCTGACGGACTAAATGCATGGTTGCAGAATGAGGGCTGGGCACTTGAATTGCCTCTTCAAACCTTCCACTCTTCTACCTTTCGATAATGGCACGGAGGGGGGGGGAAGTGGGGTGAGCCCAGGTCCTTTCTCTGTGGGCTAATTGTTCCCATAAGCACTGCACCAATTCAGCTTGCTTATAAGGAAGAACACCATTTCTGGTCTTCCAAAAGAGCACAGACATTTATGGTAGGGTTGAATTTGGCCATGGTAATCTACTTCAGATTTGCCTGTTGCACATAGTCCCGTCTCCCACAGTCACCCAACATTCAAAACTCAGCTGCTGAGGCTGTGCAAAACCAAACTAGATTTGTGTCACTTTGAATGAAAGGGCAAGAAATATGTCAGCCTTCTTTGCTTGTACCCTGATTTAGTGAAAAATTACAGTCTTGTTCATTTTGGAACACCCAGTAGCTCTAGATTGTCACCAGTGTTAATGGGTTCCCTGCCACAGTTTTACAATGAGAGCCTCAGTGAATGTTGAGGGGCTCTTACCTACTACCACGAGCTTTAAGTTGATCTCCAGGACCCCACTGTCATTCTTCAGCCTGACTTTGTAATCTCCACAGTCCTTTCTCTCACTGCTGGAGATGGACAGCATGGTAAAGGTCTCTGTTTTGTCAACACGAATCCTTGTGTCGTCTGCTAGCTCCATTCTGTCCTTTAGCCACGTTGCTCTGACTGGCAGCCGACCCTCAAAAGGGATCTTGATCTTTACTTTTTCCCCTGCCTTGGCCACAGTAGGAACACTTGTTAAGTTTTTGAGGAGAACTTTGTCAACCTGTGGAGGATCTAAGCAGGTGATACAAGGTTATTAGAAACTGCAATTCGAAGAGGATAAGGCTCACCTTGGACTAAAGGGCTTCCCTCATGATGCTGCCAATAATGCTTAGAAGCTTACATTTGGACCTTTACCTTTAGTTGCACACTCACTTCCCATGAACACATGTACTTTTTTACAGGATAATTATCACAAGGTATCTGCAGTATCATACTGTCCCTTTCACTGGAGCAAATTTCTCATAGGAAATACAATAAACACAAGGATGAAGAATCTGGTCTGATAAAGTGTTATGTGCACGCTAAAATCTTTGAGTTAATAATAGAAACTATTCAGGAAGGCTCCCTGGTTAAATTTGTATATATAAAATCCACCAACCTGTAGAAAAACTATCTCCTATTTACATGGCAATTATTTATGATAAAGTTGTCTCAATAACCGACTATAGGTCTCCAAGAAAATGTATTATATTTAAAGAAAATGTATTATGCTTAAAGCACATCAAGGCTAGTATGTCACATTGGTAGCTTGAACAGACTCACCTTCAACAAAAATTGAAGCTTCAGTTTTTATATCTCCACCTTCAAACCTGTATTTCCCAGCATGAATATCTTCCACTTTGTTAATAATTAGCTTGTGGACTAGACCTTCCTTTTCAATAATGATTCCATCCATGCTTGTTAACTACAAGGTAAAGCACAGAGACTCATTCTTAAAGAAGAGGGAAAAAAGAGGGCAATCCAAACATAAACGGGACAGACAAAAACTTGAAATGTAATCGAAAAGATTTATGAATAATAAGCATGTTTAATCACAATAATATTCTGGGATTACTCATCTGAATGCATTGAATATAAGCATTATCAACATACTCTCCACAAAGACTTGATTCAAAGTCCATTAAAATAAATTTTAGCAAATTCTCCAAGCTCTCTTTTTCTATTCTTAATGACAAAAACTTTGGTCCATGATCAAGTATGCCACCTCAGAACTCCTAAAGTATCTTCTGGATCCCACGACTGGAATTACTTTTTCAGTGGTTTGGAACATAGTATATGATGTCTATGCTTGATCTTAAGCACTAATTTGAAAGAACACTCTTCATGTTATGCCTCCCTGAAGGATCTTTTGAAGACTTTTCCCTTGCTTTTTTTCTCTCATTCACCAAGGAAAAGAAAAAATATAGCATTGAAAGGAAGAGACCCACACCATCTCCACCCATTAAAAAAAAAAAAAAAAGAAAAATGGAAAACACAAAGTTTCCTGTTGTCAGCAAGAATGGAAAGGCCATGTAGCAAGAAGGGAGAGAAATCTTGCTGGATTTCTATAAAAAATTTTATTATCAATAGGCTCTTGCAGAATCCTTCCAGGGCCACACTCAGACTACAGTAAAACTGACACCTTGACACAACACTTCATAAGAAGTAGAGCCAGAGAGCAGAGCATTGCTAACCAAAGAAAACAGTAGCTGGAGGATACCTACCTTTAATCCATCTTTAAACCAGGTTCCTGTCACGTCCTCTTTACTGACAGTGAAAGACAGCTCAGCTGGTTCCCCTTTCAGGACACTGACATCAAGTAACCGTTTGTTGACATAACAGCGTGGTGCTGAACATTCAGAAAAGAAAATGTCGGAAATAAGCTAACTCTGTGTTACACTGACAGAGAGAAATGTATAGATGAAAATGCATGTGAGGAGAAAAGAGAGCTTCTTAAAAAAATATATACTGTAGTCATGACAGGCTTTTGTACCACAGTGCTGTGGGCCAGCTGGCATAAACTCATTGCGCTGAAGGGATGCACCAGCAGGCCTGCACACAATATAGTCCTAACGTCAACCCAATAGGCAATGGATTCATCAAAATCACGTTATCCATCTACAGATTTGCTATTTTAATTCTATGCTCATTCATTGTCTTGGCTCCCTCCACAGCCAGTGGGAAAAAATAGGCTACTCCAGGATAAGGATATACTACTTCATCGGTCTCTTCCTCTGCATTGAGCAGACACAGGGCTGCCCAACCCCTTCACCCTAAGCAGCCCCAAGTCATGCTATTCTCTACCCCTGTATTCCTCTTTCCCTTCCCCAATTAACATCCTCATCCCCTCTCTCATAAACATTCCACCTCCTCCCTTTACTTCTTTATTTAAGTTTTGTTTGCCTTGATAATTTCTAACATGTCAGCAATTCCATTAGGTGAATATTCCTCTTTGGTTATACATTTGAAATTTCTAATTTCTACAATTTCACATTATCATCTTGCTAGTGTAGCCACTAGTCTTAGTCAAACACCTGCATACATGTTACTCTCCTTTTACTATATTCAACACCCTATTATTTCTGATGCTACAAGAGAAAAGAGCTCTCTATATTAGGCTCAATGTGCATATTAATCTAATAGAAGCAGGCACAGATTTGTTTCCAGAACTTGGAAAAATACAGATCTTTGCACTAGATGTTAGAACAAATAAAGTGAAATGATGTTTTAAATTGGAAGAATATCAAAGAAAGGGCCATATTCCTTGAAACTACATGGAACTAGTATGTCTGTGCACTGAACTCTGTTCGATGTGGATCTGAATCGTTTATCTGAATGAAGAGTTGATACCCATTTAAGACAACTTAAACAAAGATCATTTAGACTTTTAAAGCAGTTTGATCTGAGCAAATTGTGTTAGGTCAAACAGCAAATCAGCGGTAGAATTAGGAACAGATTACAGTATAACCAAATTTCTACATACAGCTACATTTGTCTAAACCATAAAATTTGATTTTACTCAAGGATTAGGAATAAGAGCATCCAAATGCAAAGCCCATCAATACAGGTCACCAATTAAACACGTACCTTTCAGATCATCTAGGCAATAATATCTTCTTTTGCCCGGACTTTCTGTATTCTTGAAGAAATCATTTGCTTTGATATCAAGGTCGGGTTCCTGTTTACTCTGGTTTATTGAAGGAGGTCCGGCATAAAGATCTGACATCTCACCATGATCCAATGACCCTTGAGCAAGACCACCTGAAATCCTCCCACCAACTTCTCTGTTATAGGATTTAATCCCTGGCCCTCCAAAGGCAGAATTTTTGCCATAAAGGGAGCCCAACTTTTCTAAACCTCTTCCCTCACCCCCAGCATCTCCTTGACCTGAAAGTGAAACTCTGTCACCAGATGAATCTTTGTTCCCTGATCCTCTGAAATGACTGGCAGTGCCCTTTCCAGTTTCACCCCCAGTAGAAGATTTCCCAGGATGTGAATCCAGCCCATATTCACCACCCCGTCCAAGAGCACCTACCACACCTTCTTTAGAATGTAACTCCCTTTCACCAGCACCTAATCTGCCAACATCACCTGCACCAGCCCTGCCTCCAGCTGACCTACTGTCCTTGCCATAGGGAGACCCAGATCCCCGTACGGCAGAGCCACTGAAATCACCACCTTCTGAGAAGGCATCTCCACCTGCTCCACCTACATATCCCTGAGCTCTGCTCCACGTAGCATCCCTGCCGTGGACAGATCCCATCACTTCTTCAGACCCAAAAGGGAACTGAGCATCTCCTGCCACACCCCCAGATGGGACACCATCCCTTCCATAGAAAGAACCAATTCTCCCCCCACCAGCTACACCAGCACCACCAAGACCAGCACCAACTGGGACACCATCATTTCCATATGGAGATCCAACTCCTCCTGCACCAGCTACACCAGCACCACCAAGACCAGCCCCAACTGGGAAGCCATCCTTTCCATAGGGAGATCCAACTCCTCCTGCACCAGCTACACCAGCACCACCAAGACCAGCCCCAACTGGGACACCATCCTTTCCATAGGGAGATCCAACTCCTCCCGCACCAGCTACACCAGCATGACCAATGCCAGCCCCAACTGGGAAGCCATCCTTTCCATAGGGAGATCCAACTCCCCCTGCACCAGCTACACCAGCATCACCAATGCCAGCACCAACTGGGACACCATCCTTTCCATAGGGAGATCCAACTCCCCCTGCACCAGCTACACCAGCACCACCGATGCCAGCCCCAACTGGAAAGCCATCCTTTCCATAGGGAGATCCAACTCCTCCTGCACCAGCTACACCAGCACCACCAATGCCAGCCCCAACTGGGACACCATCCTTTCCATAGGGAGATCCAACTCCTCCTGCACCAGCTACACCAGCACCACCAATGCCAGCCCCAACTGGGACACCATCCAACTCCTCCTGCACCAGCTACACCAGCACCACCAATGCCAGCCCCAACTGGGAAGCCATCCTTTCCATAGGGAGATCCAACTCCTCCTGCTCCACCAACACCAGAACCACCAGCACCACCAAGACCAGCCCCTATTGGGAAACCATCCTTTCCACAGGGAGAACCAACTCCTCCTGCACCAGCTACACCAGCACCACCAATGCCAGCCCCAACTGGGACACCATCCTTTCCATAGGGAGAACCAACTCCCCCTGCACCAGCTATACTAGCACCACCAAGACCAGCCCCAACTGGGAAGCCATCCTTTCCATAGGGTGATCCAACTCCTCCTGCTCCAGCTACACCAGCACCACCAATGCCAACCCCAACTGGGACACCATCCTTTCCATAGGGAGAACCAACTCCTCCTGCTCCAGCTACACCAGCACCACCAAGACCAGCCCCAACTGGGACACCATCCTTTCCATAGGGAGAACAAACTCCTCCTGCACCAGTTACACCAGCACCACCAATGCCAGCCCCAACTGGGACACCATCCTTTACATAGGGTGATCCCACTCCTCCTGCACCAGCTACACCAGCACCACCAGTGCCAGTCCCAACTGGGAAGCCATCCTTTCCATAGGGAGAACCAACTCCTCCTGCTCCAGCTACACCAGCACCACCAAGACCAGCCCCAACTGGGACACCATCCTTTCCATATGGAGATCCAACTCTCCCTGCACCAGCTACACCAGCACCACTGATGCCAGCCCCAACTGGGACACCATCCTTTCCATAGGGAGAACCAACTCCCCCTGCACCAGCTACACCAGCACCACCAATGCCAGCCCCAACTGGGACACCATCCTTTCCATAGGGAGATCCAACTCCTCCTACACCAGCTACACCAGCACCACCAAGACCAGCCCCAACTGGGAAGCCATCCTTTCCATAGGGAGATCCAACTCCTCCTGCACCAGCTACACCAGCACCACCGAAACCAGCCCCAACTGGGAAACCATCGTTTCCATAGAGAGAACCAACTCCTCCTGCTCCAGCTACACCAGCACCACCAAGACCAGCCCCAGCTGGGACACCATCCTTTCCATAGGGAGATCCAACTCCTCCTGCACCAGCTACACCAGCACCACCAATGCCAGCCCCAACTGGGACACCATCCTTTCCATAGGGAGATCCAACTCCTCCTGCACCAGCTACACCAGCACCACCAATGCCAGCCCCAACTGGGAAGCCATCCTTTCCATAGGGAGATCCAACTCCTCCTGCACCAGCTACACCAGCACCACCAATGCCAGCCCCAACTGGGAAACCATCCTTTCCATAGGGAGATCCAACTCCTCCTGCACCAGCTACACCAGCACCACCAATGCCAGCCCCAACTGGGAAACCATCCTTTCCATAGGGAGATCCAACTCCTCCTGCACCAGCTACACCAGCACCACCAATGCCAGCCCCAACTGGGAAACCATCCTTTCCATAGGGAGATCCAACTCCTCCTGCACCAGCTACACCAGCACCACCAATGCCAGCCCCAACTGGGAAACCATCCTTTCCATAGGGAGATCCAACTCCTCCTGCACCAGCTACACCAGCACCACCAATGCCAGCCCCAACTGGGAAACCATCCTTTCCATAGGGAGATCCAACTCCTCCTGCACCAGCTACACCAGCACCACCAATGCCAGCCCCAACTGGGAAACCATCCTTTCCATAGGGAGATCCAACTCCTCCTGCACCAGCTACACCAGCACCACCAATGCCAGCCCCAACTGGGAAACCATCCTTTCCATAGGGAGATCCAACTCCTCCTGCACCAGCTACACCAGCACCACCAATGCCAGCCCCAACTGGGAAACCATCCTTTCCATAGGGAGATCCAACTCCTCCTGCACCAGCTACACCAGCACCACCAATGCCAGCCCCAACTGGGAAACCATCCTTTCCATAGGGAGATCCAACTCCTCCTGCACCAGCTACACCAGCACCACCAATGCCAGCCCCAACTGGGAAACCATCCTTTCCATAGGGAGATCCAACTCCTCCTGCACCAGCTACACCAGCACCACCAATGCCAGCCCCAACTGGGAAACCATCCTTTCCATAGGGAGATCCAACTCCTCCTGCACCAGCTACACCAGCACCACCAATGCCAGCCCCAAATGGTAGGCCATCCCTTCCATAGTGATTCCCAACACTCCCTGCAGCAGCATCACCGATTCCAGCAGTAAGCGGAAATCCATCCTTTCCATAGGGAGATCCAACACCTCCAAACCCACCAGCTGTAGGCCCAGCAATGCCTGCTCCAGTAGTGAGGCCATCTTTTCCATAAGGAGATCCACCTCCCCCTGCACCAGCTACACCAGCACTACCAACACCTGCTTGAAGTGGGACATCATCCTTTCCATAGGGAGTCCCAATTCCCCCTGGACCAGCTGCACCACCGTCACCAACCCCTGGTCCCACTAGCTGACCATCTGGACCATAGAAAGCTTCCATTTCCCTGGTAGAACTGCCACCTGCACCAGACATAGCCCCATCTTTTGTTGGAAGACCTCCTGGACCATACAACATGCCAGATGTTCCTGTCTGACCTAAACGACCGCTAGCATGAAGTGTCAGTCCATCCTTGCCATAGGGAGCTCCGATTTGTCCTTTCCTACTTCTGTTTGCTTCATTTATATCAACCCCAGTCGGCAGGCTATCCTTGCCATAAGGGGACCTCATTCCTCCTGCTGTCTCAGTACCTGCAGCATTCTTTCTAACTCTATTCCCTGGACTAGCCCTACTCAACAAATCACCCTGTCCACTCTTACCGTCTCCCACCCTGGTTGAATCAGGATCAAGTCCATCTAACGCAGATCTTCCATCTGTAGCACCTAATCTCCCAACACCCCCAAAGCCAGCTCTGTAACTAGTATCACCTAATTTACTATCCTTGTCATGCTGAGAGCCCACACCTTCTCCAATATCCATGTCAACATTAACAGCATCCAGCACACCATCATCTCTGCCATCCACAGAATACCGTTCACCTGCTCCTCCTAACCCATCACCAGTATGTGCTCTGCCTGTCATGGAATTCTTGCTGCAAAAAGGCCTTAATCCACTTTTGCCTCCTAAACCTTTTAATCCAAAACTACTACCATCATTTGTCACTGAGTCTCCATCTAGGTCTGCTCCAGAAAACTGTCTAAATCCCATCCTTCCATTTCTGTGGGCTGCATGTAGCCCATCTTTTCCCAAAAATCTATGACTTCCATCAGAGTCAATGGAGTGGCCTTGACTGCCGCCTTGACTATTTCTGTCCCAGCCATCTTTTTCCACACCAGTGTCCATAAGATGATCTTCACTGTCGACATATTCTCTGCGTCGAAGTTTCTTAGCCCTATCTTTATCTGGCAGTGTTTCTTTCAGGCTCTCAGATTTCTCTCTTTCACCTTCTTCACCCTGTCTCCTCTTTCCTTTGGCATCTGTATGGAAGATGAATTGTTTGATTGGAGGAGATATAATTTACAGGAAAAAAGAAAAAAAAAAAAAAGAATAGACAACCAATAGGTCATGTATTACATCAGCAACCAAAGAAAACGTGTTAGCTTTTTGTTGTAATTTCATTCTAGAACACAGAAACATAATATATTTAAAGAAATTTAAATTCAGTTCAAATCCTGATTTTTTTTTAGTGTCACGTTCAGACATAATTTTACATTTTAGTTTAAAAGGCAATTATTTTTAGTGGAAAAATGCTTGTTAAAAAAACCAACCAACCAACCAAAACAAAACAAAAAAACAAGGCAAATTTCAAGCATGACAGGTCTAATTTAGGGGGCCTTGGATTGTATCTGGGACTCATTAGTTCCTTCTGCCTTCTCCCTTCAGTCCTGGAGGAGTTACAGAATATCCCCCACACAGAGTGGCCCTCAGTTCCCACCCATGAATTATGATCTCAATGCTATAGAGGCAGCTTCACATTTGGCATCCTGGCATTTTAGAGATGGCCAACGTGCAGACTAAAGATTCCAATTCTGCGAACAGCTTTGTATTAATCTAAAATTCAGGCTTTTCTGAGATCATGTCACTCATTGTTTTGATTTCCAAGCTAGATCTCATTTCTGTAAAGCATTAACAGCTCAATGAAATCAGTGGGCAGTTTCTTTTTATGTCATACTCAACCTGCACTGTTTCTGAAAGATCATAAAAAAGCCTTTTTATTATAAAGAGACCACCTTTTGCTGCAGCGGGATGTCAAAAGAAGCCAAAGCAATTACCTTTCAGAAGCAAAAAATATGAGCCAGGTAACAATCTGCTTGCATTGAAAAGAGTGTTTCCCAGCTTCCTTTGAGCTTCTTCTAACATGTTTAACTTCTAATTTGAAAAGAAAAATACTATCTAGCAAGACAGTATTGAATAGAATTGATAATACAGAACTGATAGTATTGAAAGCTCCTTGATCCCCTGCACGCTCTACTGTGTTCACACAGTGACAGCTTCATCAAAAACACATGTTGAGATATGGAGCATTTTCCAATATCCGATGGAGAACATGCTACTTCATAGTAGCTGTAGAGTAAATAAGCCAATAGGATTTGTCAGGACTAATAAAAAGAGAAAAAACTGTCTCATCTGAAAAAGAAAGAAGGTGTAACCAGACCTTCATTTTTTCAAATATAATTTAGGAAAAAGAGGCTTTGCAATTCATTTCTCAGCATAGAATCATCTGAATGAGCAATCAGATAGTGAGAGGAATATTATTTTGTTAACACACATCAAGTCAACACTGTGGGAATACTGTGTCACTTACACTCTACAATAAGCCAGGCATTTGAGGAGCAGAGTCCAGTGTCGAGTGTGTACATGCCATTGTCAGAGGGCACAACATTCTTGATAATCAACTGGTGGGTCAGACCATCAGGTGTTACAGAGATCTGGTGCTTCTCACTCGCCTCGAGGAGGTGGGTTTTGTGTAGCCACACAGCATCATAGCAGGGTGTGCGTAGGATACACTCAAAGACAGCATCTTCTTCCTCAGGACAACGCACATCACTGAGCGGCTGCGCAAATCTCACAGGGATGGCTGCAATGCAAAAATCAAAAGCTATAGAAAGGAAACAGAGATATTTCTATCTTCCAGGAAAAACTTGTTGCAGCTGAAGGGAGTAAGACAGACAGGAAGTTGCCATGCCTGTGAGCACTGGTTTAAGTGGAAAAGGGAAAAACTGAGATGTGCCCCTGCACCCAATTTTCCAGGACAGAAAAGCAGAAAAGTAGATTTTTGTCTTTATTGTCTTCTGAGACATTTATACCACACATCACCACATGTGCTGATGATGTGTAGGCATTAATGTATTTCAGCAGCATGATACTTTTATTGAGTTGCTAGTTACTACTCTGACATTACAAAAGGAAACTATAGCATGGGGTAAGTTAAGAAATTTCCACACTTTCATCCAGAAGCCAGAGCCAAACTGGTACTTGAACTTAGTCCTTTGGACCAAAAATGTAACACCCGTATCACATAATCACCCTCCTGCTCTTTTTCACCTGGGTTGTATAAGAAGCCCTTCTTTGGCAATACAAAACCAGTCTTCTGTAGTTACCAGGTTTTACTGCTCAGCTTTGCATGTACTCCCAGATAAAATTCTCCAGCAAAAAATAATTTCTTGTTACAGTTACACATCACATGCATCTAGCTCAATTCCTTACAATCAGCATCCAATTCAGTTGAGAAAACAGGTATGTCCTCCACTCTGACTTGGTACAAGCCTGCATCTTCTGGCTGCACATCGTTGACAATGAAATGATATCTTTTTCCAATTTGCCTCAGGCAGTGCTTTCTGTATTCATCCCCTGTTCCATATCGGAGCTTTTCACCATCCTAGGAAGAGGAAGAATATACTCTCAAAGGCAATGCACAACTAGTGCAAGGCATTTCAGACAAATCAGGCCAAACGTGTGCTGTGATCACCTTATTGTTACAAATGACTAACAACAGAGCTCTATTACTATTTACAAAGGACAAGGCTCATTGCTTATGTAACACACAGGCGATGCTATGTGTTCAGTGCTGCACAGAACAGAGCAACAGACTCTCAAAAGAGGCAACCCACTAGTACTTTGTTAGCTCACATAAGGTTTTGAAGCTTCACTAATACAGTTACTGTAACTTTGAAGACAAAGTACTTTCTTTGCTTAAATTTTCAACATCCTCATTGTCCTGGTTTTGGCCAGGATAGAGTTAACTTTCCTTGGGCTGAGAGGGAGCCCAGCTGGAGGGCCGGAAGGGATTGGTCACTGGAGTATTCCACATCATGTAATGTCATGCTCGGTATACAGGCAGACGCATGCTCTCTCACAGCCCGTTTGGGTTTCAGTTTCCCAGTGGCACAGCGGGATTTCTGCTGGGAGCAGGCTGCGTACTGGTCACTGGTCAGTGAGCCACTGCTGGCTGCCTTTTACCCATTTGGACTTACTATTTTTACTGTTGTTTTTTTACTATTACTAATTTTTTTTTTTTTTATTCAACCTATAAATTTCTTTTTTTTGACCCTTCCCTGTTTCACTGGGGTGGGGGGGCAGTAAATGACTGGCCATGTGGTGATTGGCTACACGCTGAGTTCAAACCACAACACTCACAGACGGATAAACAGGCGAGTTCACCACTTTCCGATCTCTAACACTCTTGGGTTACCTTCTCCATGTTGTGGCTGCATGGGCTTCATGTCATGCATTTGATTCAGAAATTCATAGAGTTAGTCTGACCTCCTCTTTAGTGAATTCCAGTTTCCCCTGTATTAAAGCCACTAACCACAGTTAGACTGAAATGTATCTCCCAGAAAAACATCCACAGCACTGATCACCCGAGGATCACATCAAAATAACTACAGGACTAGATGGGATGTTTTACTTCCTTGACATCTTCTTTCACAGAGGTGAAATATAGTGGAATAGCACACTCAAGAAATTGAGTAAAATCAGTTTGTTTTTCTTGTATGAGACTGCAGAATTTCTGCAGCCTGGAAGATACTGAGAATTTCCCCTTAACAGAAAAGGTCTTGAAGTCAAAAGGATGTCAGTAACTGACTGTCTCCCCTGTATCTGGTTCTACAAAGCCCAAGTGATATTTACCACCACAGACTACCTGGAACCCCACACCACCTCTCCCTAACTAATCAAGGATTCTGCAATGGACAGACAATTTTAAGAAGCTCATTTGCTCTCAGCCACTGCCCAGCAGATCAAACATTTTATGTAAAAGATTTCAGTGGCTGCTATGAGCTGGCCAACTCATCTTGTCCCCTTACCTTAAGCAGATAAACTTTGCTGTTACTATTTTTCAGGTCCATCGTCAGACTGAAGGTAGCTTTTCCCTCCTTGTTGACTTTGATGTGTTCAAAGTTTGTGATACTGTGTATTAACTGCAAAGAAAGATACAAGAACATAGTAAATGATAAGGCTGCCATGACAGCAGTTCTTAAGCTGTTGAACTAATGTGAAATCGACTTTTTATCTGCATACAAAATAGCTGCCTCTAACTTATGGGTATAGAAGCATCTGTAAGTTACCACAGTTTCTTCCTGTAGGCAAATTATATTTTACGTGCTACCTCCTGATCATTCATACACTATGCAACCACTATCTGTCCAGGTTTCTAAATGCCCCTGTATGTGAAGATCAATTTTGACTCTTGAGCAAATAACTTTCCAATTTGGGGTCCAAATTCTCATCAGAGGCAACTGAATACATATTTTAGCCACGTGGTTTAATAAAAGCATTACCCTACAGTCTGTATTTCCTAAATAAATGAACTGAATTTCAAAAAAGTCAATAGCAGTTTCATCTGCATGAGTATAGAAGTAGGACTTCTTTAAAACATTGTCATAAATCATTTTCTGTCATACAATAAGATTTCCATCTGCAAAGCAATTTAGGAAGATTTATCCTGTTTTCAGAAGCTACTGAGTTAATACAGGACTCTGCAGTTTGTTAAAAATCAGTGCTTTCAGTGGTTTTGGTTTACTTTACCTCTCCTTGTTCACTCTCTGTGTTCTTCCTCAACTCCTGCAGCTTTCTCAGCATCCCACGGAAGTCAACAATTCCATATTTCATACAGATTTTCTCATAATCTCTCCTATCTGCATGCAGTAACAGTTGCCAGACTGTTTCTTTGTCCAGGGGTTTTGGTTTAGGTACTGGGGCCCTTAGAACCAGGGGGGGAAAAAAACAATCTAGACATTCAGACAGACAACACAATGTCTTGTTTTCCTATACTTAATTCTCTTTCATCTCTCTCTCCATCATTTCTGCAGTTCACTTAGCCCTGTAGTTCTAAACAAGAAAGAATGGGACTCTTCCAGAACAGGTTTTCTGCATCTATACTACAAATTAAATGCTGTCAGGAAACTGGGCCATATAGGGCAAGACTGTAATGCAATTATTCACAATGTTAAATTATTAGCAAAGGCACTGGCACAGTTTGGCCCAGTCCAACTTGCACTCTCCCAAGTGATTTCTCAGCACAGTTCAGGATTTTGCACAGGCTAGAGATCATTCCCATCAGGGAATCTTTGGAAGTTCCCACGTGGGAAGTGAAGGGATTTGAGCACCGTGCACATGGCAGTCTGTGCAGTTGGCCAGGGAGCCAGGGCTCAGCCCCTGACATTACATGAAGACTTGTGACTTAGGAAGTTACTTGTGAGCTAAAAACAGGAAAGCAGAGAAACACATCTTTTAAGTCAAAATCTTGTGGTGCAAAGGAACATACACCTCAAAATGAGGTTGGTACCTGGTGTTTATTTTAGCCTCACACATAGTGGCAAACTGTTCTGTTAAGTCTCTCCATATCGAGTCTCATAACAACTTTGGAAACAAGAAGTGTTGCCTTGAAGATCGATGAAGCTGTCCCCTATCATCAAGAAATATCTAGGAAGTGTAACAATGGCCTTTGTTACGGAGGCTTACCGCTTCCTCAGCAGCTTCCTGTAGTCCTGAAGCTTCTTCTTTAACTCTATTAAAGGGGGGGGGGAAACAACAGTCAGATACCCAACATTGTGAAATACAACCCCCAAAAGAAGATAATGCAAAACAGCCACTGACAACAGGCCATGCTGCTATGCTGTTTATCTCTGGTGAAGTTTTCACACTTCACAAAAAAGGTGCCATGAAACTTAGAGCAAATTTTATCTTGCACATTCATGTCCTTTGAGTGCCATTAAAGTTCATCACTCCCTAGGGGGCTTTTCTCTCTTTCTAGAGAGGACACTCTAGAAACCCAGTATTTTCCAGCTGTGTTAACATGTTTGATCCAGCTGTATTTGACATCACAAAATCCTTTTCTAGCACTAATGATTCCAGAATCATTAATTAGAACAGCTCAAAGCCATGTCTAAGATCATCACTTTACTCCAAGGTAAATAGCAAGCAGAAAGAGATGACAGAACATTAGTGAACCATTAACCCTAGAGTTACTTACTCTTCAAAAGTTTGGGGTAGTAATAATGTGGTAGACAGGGGAGTATTAACTATGCCCCCCCCAAAAAAAAAAAAAAAAAAAAAAAAATCTCACTTACCATCAGCAGGATGAACAGGAACATATTTTGCTTTCCTCTTAAAGCCAACTGAGAGTTTATAAAACAGAGGAAAAACAAACCGTAAGATGAACAAGATAAGACTCAGACTAACACCAGTAAACCAATGAACTGTAAAAACTCTGTATCTGGTACTAATGCAAGAGGAAATCCTAGTTTGGATCTCCTCGTCAATCTGACATTGACTCCTAGCAATCTCCCCCAGAAATGCAATATTTCTATTGCAAATGACTCTGATTACTGGATACTCTACACAGCGGAGGAGACTGCTTCTGCTGTATCAGGCTTATGGTTTAAGCAGTGGTAGGAAATATTAACATCTTGTTTTAGAGATGGGGAGCCAAGGTGCAAGGATTATCTGGCCAAAAGCAGATAGTTGCCTTCTAAACTTACTTTACAGACACACAGGTGAAATGGATGATTCCAACTTAGTCCACCTCCTACTCATGCAGATTCCAAGAATCAGGCAGTTATATTTTACTCACAAAGTGCACATTTCTCCCCACTGACTATACGGGGAGGCAGGGGGCTAGGTCAGGCAGACACCATAGACATCTGAAATGAAGTGGGATGGATCCCTCCCAAAAGACTGATTCATTCAACATCATAAAGAAAGGATTGAACCAATTCAACACTAAATCCAGAGCAGCCAGTGCAGTGACCACATCACCACTTTCTTCTCCCTTGCTTCAAAGCTCATACTGTCACGGAGCCACCAAAGTGGGAGGAGTCACAGAAGAGCTCCAGTCCTCAGTGAGCAGAAAATAGACCTTCACACCAAGGATACTTAGAGAGTGCTCTGGACACTCACTCCCAGAGGACAGAAAAGCCAACTACTTGGGAGCACAGGACCTTTGGGACACGGAACCAGTCAATCCTACCTTGTATGATCCTGAGGCCGACAGAGCATGCAGCTTCTCCATATTCATTAACAGCAGAGCAACGATACAAATCACTGTCATTTGCAGTGAGTTTGTTTATCTTAAGAAGAAAAACATAGTAAGAGCTCAGAGTGATGTGCTATGGTTCAGTTCACACACCTTCAGCTTCTAATAAAGCAGCTATTCAATGACATCTCAGATCTTTCTTCTACTCCCAGAATGACTCTAAAAAGCTTTGTTTGCTTATCTTTGTGTTATCTCAGATCTGGTGACACCTATATCAGCCTACTGCAGGTTTTTCCTTGCCGTTGCTCTCTCTGTTCCATGAGTCCTGTCTGAAATATTTGATCTTTACCTGCAGATTGAATTCATTTGTATCATTATTGAAGAATGTTTCGTATTTGGCAGGATCATCCATTTTTCCTTGTACTCGAGTCCATTTCACGTCAGGGGTTGGAACACCTTTGACCACACCACTGAAAATGGCATTTTTACCTTCAAAAAGAGGCAAGAAAATGGTTATTTAAGATGGGCTTGAACATGACAACTCTCATGCCAGGCCCCTTATGTTATCAATAGAGTGATTCCCAGAGTGATCCATCTGTGTTTTATGCAGAATCATTATCTGAAAATAATTAAATCTTTTGGGTTTTCCTGTAAAAGGTGCCTAAATTATCGGTTTAAATGGCAATAAATGCCCAAATTGCTTCAAGACATCTGCTACAATCTCCACGCTAACTCACTGGCTTTCAAGGAGATTACTTGAAAACTAACTTTAAAATTCACAGTGGACACATATGGTCTCTGCCTGTGTTTTTATTGCACAGCCATGTGGATAGAGAAATTACATATTCAAAAGAGCAATTTTTTGGTAGCTTTGTCTAATTTTGAACTCCCTCAACGTTTGGTCAGGGCCAAAGAACAGGCAGTTACCAGCTGAAGTCCAGGCTACCTTTCCCCATGTCCATAATGTTAGGGTTTGCCTGCATTCAATCATAAAAAGCCTTTAAAATATGTTGTTAGACTGCCAGATGTGACTGCTAACATCCTCTGATCATCTCTGAAATCAACTACACTATAGCAAGTTCAGCCTAGACGTGCTTCTGGCAACTGTCAGTGCTGGGTTAACGGTTGGACTAGATGATCTTCAAGGTCCTTTCCAACCTAGTTGATTCTGTGATTCTGTGAACTGGTATGCACTACTTGTACCACAGCCACGAAATGCCCAAATCTGTTCTCATCACACACATTCCCCCACAAGTTCCCATTGCTCCTCCACTCTTTGATACTATTCCCTTTGTTGCAACCATGCTGGGCAGGATGTTAGATAATAAAGGACTCACTGTGCTGGAGTCCTGTGTCTCTAGACATCAGTAAAGTTCATCTGTGTATAGCTGCAGCTCTGGGTCTCTTTTTCATTTGGATAAATCTGGATTTATTAGGAGGTGGAAACAAGAAAATACCTATTCTGCACACTTGAGAAAACATGTTCTTAACAGACGACACAGTACCACAACTGGGAGGACCCATGCAGGGTAGGGTGTTTCCCCATGTACTCCCTACATGTCCTCTTTCTGCAACACCTTCCTTGTCTGCTAGCCTGGCACCACCCTGCACTCCAAACACACCATGCTCTGCTGTCTGAAGAGGCATGGAAGGGAGAAGAGGATGGGCTTTACCTGTGAGCTCTCTTCTTCAGCTCTGCTTCCCCAAGAACCTGAACATACTGCAGCTGACCACAGAAATCTCCAACAGCTTTACCACTGCCTAGTACAAACCTTTTCTTCCAAAAGGCTTCAAAGACATAGGAAGCACTATGAAACAACAAATCAGAGAAGTGACTCATGTAGGTAAAGTGGGAGTGTCACAGGAGAGTAGAAATGGACATGAGTTATCCATGAATGTAGCTCAGGGTGGAAATGATTACTACCTTTCTTTTGCAATGGTTTTGGTCTTCAGATGACCAACACTGTTAAAAATTCTCCCCAGAAAGTCTTGCAATATTTCCCACACCCTTTTGCAGCCACCACCAAAAATATTATTTGATGCAGCAAGCTCCTGCCAACAGATTCTTATACAAAAGGCATCTTCCAACTTTTTCTCAGGTTAAAGTCTGATTTCAATTGATTATATGTTTGTCAAATTTTAGGCTGCAATTTCTCATGTTTGACATCTGTCACAGGACACAACTCCACAGCTAGGAGTATCAGCTAATCCATGCACTGAATGCAACAGGGTGATGATAATGTAATTAAAGACACTCATCGTGCATCTGCCATAGACACTGAATTCAGATTACGCAGTGACCTATCTGAATGCCCTAACATTTTGTATATGAACTACGAGGAACCTACTGTAAATGAAATAACTTGAAAAATTTAGACAGGGTGACTGGCCACCCCCTTGGTTCATGCCAGAAGCTTGCAGGTGGAAAGAAGGTGGAGGAGGAGGCAGAGGGAAGTACCGCTAGAGGCCACTGTGGTCCTTCATAAAATCGTAATGGCTCCTGAAAATCAACAGGGTTGTGACAACACTGAAATCCAGGGTGCTAGAAACGGGTCAGTCCTATGAGGGAAGAGGAGCTACACGATCTCCTCAGACTAAACCACTAAAAAAAAAAAAAAAAAAAAAAAAAAAAAAAAGAGAGATTACTGGAAGGCTTCCCATTGATTTTAGGTCTGGGTTCATTAGCTGCCTTCTCTGTACTCTATGCAAGATCCATACTGCTTCTTGAAGGAGAAATACAGCCTAAATAGCATCTGCAGTCAGTATATCTTATTTTAAAAAGTAATTAATTTTAGTGCTAAACACTCATAATGCAAGTTAATTTAACAGTAAAAAACAATTTTTCCAATGTACTTAATCTTTTGCTGCAGAATACTTACTTTGAGAGCTTCCTGCAGAATTCACAGGATTTCTTGTATACATTAGGAGACAGATTTTGACCTTGCATACACTAGTGAAAACTCAGGAGACCTCTATCAGTACTGATGGAATTTTCATCAGAACAACAAAGACTTTGGCCACACAACACTTTTTTCTGGTCTAGTCAAATCTCTCCAGAAACTAGCTTGATTTAATTACGACAACTGTTTCATGTAGGTGAGATGTAGAACCAAGTCTCCAGGTCTGTGGCTTTGACCACTTTTCAAGAATCTTACCTTCCTGCAATGTCAGAGTGACAGGTTTCCTCTCAAAATCAGGTGTACTGCATCCTTCTGGAATATCATCCACAAACTGGGTGATAAGAACTCCTGGGACAGAAGATTTCTTGAAGGGTTTTACTAGAAAGACAAGCAAACCCAGATTCAATTAATATAACATGCTTGTCCTTTAGAAGCAATCTCTCGACCTGCATTGCCCTTCTGTAGAACAGTAACTGTTCCTGCTCAGCTCCTCTTGGACTATAAAGGGCCCATCCATTCTAGTACTACAGGCTGTAAGTGTGTCCAAAGGCTGAAGCGTTAAGGTCTGTGAATTTGTGCTGACTTACTGCAAAGCTAGAGCCCAAGTGGGAAAATCTGCAATCAAGATCACAATCCAGGGCCTCATCAGCTTACAGGCCTAGCCATAATTTGGATAGAGAACGCTTTACATCAGTTACTGTTCCAAATAAAACCTCAAAATGTGTCATGAGAAAGACACTATTGCAAAGGTCAGCAGAACCTGATGGGCCAGTTACTGGTGTGTCTCTCCTTGTGGTGGTGAGAGACAGATACCTAACTGCCAAACAAGAAAAGCAAGTTGGGCTTATTCTTAAGGGTATTCCAGGTAGTTTTCATAGCTGTGTTTGTTCTCTCACCTGCCTGACGGCTGGTCATGATGCTTTGCTCAGCTGCCTATGGTCAGAACAAACGACTACTCCTGTGAAAAAGACAAATCACTTCATTATTTACAGTTCACAAGGGAAATGACAAGCCTTAATACTGCTCACTTTTATGACACAGTTTGCCCTTCCTCACTTGCCACATCCTCGCAGTCAAGTCGAGAAAGGCCTGCCAATCAACACATCATGACATGTCTTTCCAAAACATCATGACACAGTTTTGAACCAAGACAAATCAGGTACAAAAATGGCTAGCAGGGCTACATGGAAAATGTACACATTTAACAGCATCCGTCTGTCACCTCTTCCATTTCCATGTCATCTGGATTTCCTCCAAAGACCTCCTCTCGTGTTTCAGGCAAATATGGCACTCACGTGGTGAGTTCTGATGGATGGCAAGAGCAGTTGCTGAGAAGAAAACCACCGAGATGGATGTCTAAACTGGGGCATGAAGCAGAAGCTCATCCTGATCTAAATTAGCTTGTCTAAATTAGCAACAGACCTGAGAGCAGACTATAAGCTACTACTTACTTTAGAAGGAAATGGTGAAGTGTGAACTTGGCATTAACTAGTTATTGTTATAGATCACTCATGTGACCTTCTGCCAAAGGTGCCTCCTTCCCTGTATTTATAAATTGGACAACGTGTAATGTAACACATCACTATCTTGCAAGCAAACTGTGAAGGCAGATTCCTTGTCATATGAGAGATGCTCAGAAACTATAGAGTTACTGAGGCTCTGAAAGAGCAATTAGATTAGATTCCCATGTGGGATTAATGCTGTGTCTCTATTTACCCTCTGCACTCCTTCAGTCAACACAGTCACACAAGAACATGCGACTTCCAACAGTTTTACAAGGCAGATGGACTTTGTCACCACACCTATGATCTTATTTCTGTTCCCTATATCAGACATTCATCCAACCTCATATTGCTACACTACACCAGATGAAAATTCTGGGTAGGACCCCAACATCTCCTTGTTAGACATTTAGCTCAGAGTCACATTATCTCTGTGACACTTAATTTCAGCTAAGGGTAAAAGACAACGAAGCTAACAAAAATCATTTGTGCTGTACGTCCCATAGATAGGCCAAAGAAAGTGTAACTCACTGTAATTCTGTGTCAAATTCTGAACTGAAAGGATAATTTTTATTTATTAATAATGGAAATATTTATTTATTAATAATGGAAATTTTTCCATTAATCAGCAGTTGCAAATAGGAACATAAGACATCTCTCCACAACAAATCACTGGCTCCACTGTTGTCCTTAGCACAAATTTTATTTTAGGGCTCTGCACACTATACACATCTCATAAATAATTGATTACTTGGAAAATCATTCTATGAGCCTCACTGACTTCAGTGGAAATGCACATGAAACAACAGAAATGGGAAATTATACACGGGACCACGAACAACAGCCAAGTCCTCTCTTTCTATCACCCCCCCCGTCTGGTGTGGGTGACTTTTGTTGCTATCCAGCAAAACAAGAGTTTTACCTTTCAGTGTACCAGCTTTTGTGTGTTGATACTTTGGCATTTCACATAATTACTTGTGTAACTTGTGTAAACCATTGGTAGATGTTTTTAAAATGACAAATGGAGGGAACGAGCGGCTTGCGGGAGGGAAAAAACACAAAACCGAAATGAAAATAAGATGGTTCCAGGGCATCCTGCCCTGCACCAGGCAGGGCATTGCACAGCAGATGGCAGAGGTTTTCAGAGACTCTTGATCACACTCTCCTGATGGACTTAATTGTCCTCTAAAGTACTGAACTGTATTAATAGAAAACATTATAATGCCTATTGACTTTTGCAGTCTTGTACCTTCCTAAAGATGTTACCATTCCTGGAGCTGAAATGTCTAATGCTTACAGCTTTCAGCAAACATCATTACTTGACATCAGCTTGCAACAGTATTTCCCTAAGCTCTTTTTATGTTACAGTCAATTTTTTCTTTGCTACCTCTGGCTTCTTCCCCCCACACTAGGCAAAGCTGATGAGCATCTACACTGAAACATGAACGTGGTCCAAATCTTCAGGTCCAAAGCCATCAAGAAACATTCTTTTTGCATGTTACCAAATGCATCATGTCAGACAGTTGTTCTCAGTCCAGCGTGACTGTGGATATAAGTTAACATAATTATAACCTACTGAGAGATGGCTACGTTCAAATCTAGTTTAAAAAAATAACCACTGACAATATTTATATAGGTAGTACTAGGCACCATGTATGCATCCTCCCAATGTACAATATGCACTATGTGCACTATGCGTAAACTGCTGAGTTTATAGGGCCTTAAATATATCAGAAATTCACCTGGATTAAAGATAAGCTGCTCTGAGTTCTTAAACTCCTGTGAATTCTTGCCTTCTGGAGAGTGAGACAGAAGCATGTTAATGCCACACATTGATTGCACAGTTAAAATAACAGTGCAAGGATATGCAACAAGACATTCCTTCAGTGTAATTAATCCAACCACATCGCATTTTCTAGTGTCTTCTGTGTTAAATGAGGACCAGAAAATAACATATCAGCTGCTACAGAGTGCTGTCCTGCTTACTTTTAAAACTTCTACTCCCTTGTTATGTGAATCACCATGTTTTTGCTTTAACTTCAGTTCAATCCTAGAAAAATAAACCAGATTTTTGAAAAGAAATGAAAGATAGCAAAAGCCTTCCAATAACTGTCACAGTGTAATTCATATCTCCACTCACAGCTGCTTGAACACATCGTTGTCCACACTAAGATGATCACCGAGGTTGCTATTTATTCAGTGGAGACAGACAAATACTTCCAAAAGGCAACCTACCCCTCCCTAGATGAAATGGTGTTTACCAACATCCCCAGCATGACAGGCCTAACTAACACTGGAAGCAGCTGAACACTCTCACTCCTCTGAAAAATACACCATTGTCATGTATTAGCCTGGTTCAGGTAACCAAGACTTGGCTATTTCTCATCCCAGGCAGAAGTCTGTCTGCTTTCCAGCGGCAGAAACACCCCCTTCGAAGACAGTGCAAAGCTTCCACAGCTTTGAATGCAGGAGTAAGTCCTTGATTACTGACAATATTTTTAATCTACCAAAATAAACCAAATACCCTGACGGGATGGGAGGTCTGCCCTTCTTCTTGTCTATCCATCAATCTATCTGGATGAGACAGAGCAAGAACCCATTCCCTTTTGCAGTTGACCAGACACTAGTGATAGGGCCATAAATCAGCTAAGTGAATAAGCAAAACATTTGGGAGTCACAGGATTTGGAGGTACTAGTGGTGTCACAAGTAGTTATTTATGAGGTTCAGACAGTGGAACACACAGACGAGACGTGACATAATTGCTGGCAGAGACTGGTGAGCAAAATTAGCCAAAGTTGTAGAGAAGTGACAGACAGTGAGTGGTTCATAGAGTGGTGATGGGTCCAGAGGCATGGGATGCACCACAGACATCGGCACAAGCACAGTAAACATGGAGAACAAAGCCATTAGCATAGACCACAGTAGAAGACTTGCATCATTATCATAATAAATTGAACCGCCACAGATGCAGCACTCTGTTTCTCTTTGTAATTCATAAAAATCAGGTCAGTGCCAACACAGTGAATGTTTTATACAAAATACCAAATTGTTGTGTGCTCATTCTGAAATTCTAGCTGTACTTTACACCGGAGGACCCAGATACTCACTGAGTAGGAGGGTCTCTTACTGAAAATTTCTTTTTTAGCTTTAGGTGGTCTTTCTTTCTTTATTTGTTAACTTTAAGTAATATTTTGAGCTTGAGCCTTCCAATTTCAGAAGATTTTTAAAGTAAAATCTCAAAAACATTGGTTAGAACCACAGAAATGAAGGCCAGCAACTGCAGAAGTGCAACTTTATGAAAACTTCTGAGCATGTCACAAAGAGGGAACGTCACAGGCCCTCCGGTGATGAATGGAGGTCTTCTGTAGAGTGGGGAGGAATGCCCAAGGATCAGATTATGTGTGACTTATCCCTTCGGTAAATCTATACTTGACTTGATCTTATCTTCTGCCTCAGGGATTATGAATATAACATAAGTGATTGCTCATGCTGTCCACAATTTAAGTATGCATCCATCAGACACTCTATAGCTATTTATTTATTAAAGTGGCATGGACACTTTAACAAGTGTCAAGGACACTTAAGTGGCAAAGAGACACACACCATCTATATTTTCTAAGTGAATGAAAGCAATTAAGCCCTAACAGCAGTAAACAAGACAGGGAATCCATGTCAGTTTGTTGAAGCGGGTATGGGGTGAAAATACAAGAACAGGTCAGTCCGTTCCTTTCAATGTCCACAACATACCCACGAATTCTTTTATAACACAGATGCGCATTTTCATAGTCAATAAATTTACATCAAATGTCTCAGAGCAAATACAACAGGGTTTTACTAAACGTCCAGAAGAAAAAAACAACATATCCCTACTTGCTGTCCCAAGAAACAATGCCTCCAAGTTAAGAAACGTTAGAAACCATAGCACAGCTGTGCTACAAGTGCCATGGGACAGTTAGGGCAGATCTTCAACAGCCTGCATCTTACCAGGTAAAGTGGTGTATGCTATAGGAGACCACTCCTCCCAGAATATTTACAACAATTTTCAGACCTACGGCAACACAGAGCAATGTCTACCATGACGGTGAAGATGACACTTCATACTCCCAGCTCTGCATCACCTCCACACAAATCTCAGTGGTGACATGACCAAACTCACTACCTTACAGGTGGAGCCTCTGAGACGATCCTGCTTGAAGTCAATACTGCCTCTCCCAGGACCTCGGTGGCTTTGTCTGTTGACTCAGACCACAAAGCTCTTCATAGATGGTCAACAGGTCTCTTGGTCGCACATATTAGATCTGTATGAGAGAAGCCGTGCCCCTTATTAGTCTGTTGTAAATGTCACAAAGTAGCAAAAGAAATGACAAATTCTTGTTCCCCTCACACCTCTCCACTCTCGTAGGAGCTAAGTCTGGGCTCAGTAGGTGCCTAGCCAGGATGTCTGTATACTGTGCTGCATGCAGTTGTAGGGGACATTATACACCCACGCTTCCCACAGCACCAGGGGGGGGTCAATTGAACCCAGTGCCTTTGGCAAGCCTCAAACAAGGCAGTAGGCCAACGTGGTCAGATGTGACAATCAGTCAAGGCAACACTGGATTTCCAAATGCAAGCTGTGTCAAGACTTTGTTCCTCAAAGAAGGACAAACATTTATGCAGATCAATGGCTTGTCCAAGGAAGGGACAAGCTGTACATACAAGATTTGTAGGACACACCTGTAGACTCGTTCTCAGAAGCCATGAGTCCTTAGGAGATCTTGTAATTCCTTAGAAGAGAAGTAAAACCAGTAGATTACTGCATTTGTGTATGGGGCAACCATGCCTGGGCTTGGCCTTCATAAGTAGAGTCTTTCAGTCTGTGCTATTTTGAGAGGTCTGAAAGAAACGCAGTTCTTCCTAGAACAGCTTCAGTGCTACAGCCAAAGCAGACATCTCAATTCACAGACTTTCCTTCCAGCACAGCCACGGGCTGGTCCCTGTTCCCGTGAGCACCAACAAGGCCACTTATTTCCATGGACAGATTTACCCTAGAAGTACAAGTGCAGCACATTGTGCCTCAAAATCTTGCTTCCAGTCTGCCCTTGCAAGTTGGAAACCTCCCTTCCTCTACTCAGAAAGGTCACTTAGAAGCAAAGGTACCTCTATTTAGTTCCTGGTGTTCACATAGATGGCCAGTCATTCACTTCTGGCTGAGAGCATACAATCCTTTTTTCTTTTGCTTTGTGTACCATATATTCATATCAAATCCTCATGTTCAACTCTGACATGAAGGGCTGGCTCCAGAAGTTGGCAGTGGAGGTATTTTTATCATGGTGGCCATGGTTCATATGATGTCTGGGCTGACAGAACCAGACCAAAGTTTTCCTCTGGTTTCCTGTGAGGACGTTAGAGTTCTAATATCTCTGGTTAACAGGGGAGGGAGCATACAGCAAAAACATGGTCATATAGCTAAGACTCATGTTAGATAGGACGCAGACAGAAGAACCATGAAGAGAACATTTCTGCTAGTCTTAGAAAGATGACCTTTCAGTGGAAAAGACATTGGTGGTAGCAGTATGACCCGTCAGCTGTTCTGATCCAGATATCAAAAACCTCTCCTTTGCAGGGCTAGGAATCATCATTTTAATCAACAATTTAAAAGACAAATGTGAAAATGAAATTCTGGAGTAATTTTCTTCATTCTTTCTTTCTTTTTGACAGTTATTGCTGGTGATGGTATTTATACCTTCCCAGTTCCTAAGAAAACAACGTCAATAGAGCAAAATGCAATTGTTCGAACTGATGATTGGGCTAAGATCATTCAGTTCTACATACCTTGTTACCTTTGCAGTGATATAAAAATAGAAGAAATTCCAAAGTCAAATATAAACAATTTGAAAGTTAACAAGCCAAGAAAATAAGACAAGGATTTTCCATCTGGTAATGGAAAATCCTCTCACTCAGGAGCAGACACTGTTTTCTAGCACTGTCATAGACACTGTCCTAGGGGGCTTCCCACAGCCCCTTCCTCGACCTGTTTTGGCCAGTGAACATCCCAAGGATGCTTCCTTAGCTCTTACTGGTCCAGGGCAGTAGTCATGTTACTTTGTTGACTGGGTGCTGTAGCCTTAACATCAGGCACCTTTAAGAAAACCAGTTGCCACACAAGTCTCTAAAGACAGTTAGACTTCATGCAAGCCATGGGAATGCTCTCAGAGGAAACATTTATCAGCTTCTACTGAAATCTGAATTCAGCTCCCATCATCTGCAGCAAGAGCCTTCCACTCTGCAGAGTCGGCCCAACCAAAGGCCGACTGAACAACTGAGGAACTCCTAATTAGATAACACCCAATTAGATAGACAGGTGGGTCTAGCAAGTACCAGGAGAGCCACAATTCTGCCTGGGCCACTGAACCCAGACCTAATAGAGCTTTGTCTAGTTTCAAGCCCTGGGCTTACAGTTTTCTTAGGAGAGAAGGAATGGAGACCTCTCCTACAGATGGACTAATAACTTAAAACCATCTGTGGCAGAGCAACCTCCTCCAAGAGACTGACCTTCTTCCATTTCACAGCTTGTTTTCCACCCGCCCACCCAAAAGTCCTGTTAACCCCTGCATGCCAGTGGATAAGCTACTGCATACCACTGAAAACCTGCAAAATGTCATCACGAAGCCTGATACATTCAGCAGCGGTCACTGCTTTCACTGCAAAGGGGGAGCGTTTCTCCCTGGAAGCAAGTTCATCCCCCTAATGAAAGGCAAAGAAGAAGTGTCAAGCGGCAACAGCTGCAGGACAGTTATTTCAGGACTGAATTTAAATAAATTTAAGTACATTTTATCTGAAAACGAGACTCTACTGATCTTGCTTTCCCTGTAGTTCCCTTCTTCAGTATATCAGCGTGAAGTCTACCCATTCTGACCAGTAACAACTGGCCCAACTCTTCTTATAGGCTGTTGGTGCCCACTGCATGGCTCAGACAAAGCAAGAAGTGAAGAAACCAAGACCTGGTAGGTCCAAGAAGCTGAATGGATTTTCCAGTTTGTGAACAGATGAACAAGATCAATAACTAGACTCATACTTTAGTCACTTGGCCAAGTCACACCATTCCCCTGCAGCATGGGTGTCCAGTCAGCCACTGCGCTGAAGGTCAAGGTGATATCAGGGAGGCTTTTGGGCAGAAATATTCAGAGATATGTAATATTGTCGAGATATGTAAAGCTCAGTAGTCAGATTCAAAGTCTGCTTTGACATAATAGCAATGAGAACCCCATAAACCGTATACAAGAAAAAAAAGGAAAAGTTGCATCCATTTAAGGATGGGCAAAGGCACAGGAAATTGAATAAAGGTCCAAATTCAGTGAAGACTACCAGTTACCTGCAGTCCTACAACCACCCAACATTCTATATCGAATCAGGTGAGTCTGACAGTACTGATCTGCCTGGTCATGTATAAATAAAAGGACATTCTTTTGTTCAGATCAGGCCATGGGCCAGGCGGGTCACAGAACAGCATTTTGTTTTTACCAGAATGCCCTGCACCAGGATGAGGAATAGTCACATCATGCATGTGAGTGTCTCAAATGAGTCTTCTGGACTCATAATATTTGATTTTAAATAATCATGATGTAGCAAGTATTGAGTCCCTCTGTTTTCAGTGGAAGATGCCCATGCTCAGCCCAGACCCTCAACACCAGATCATTCATGTTGTACACTCCAGAAGAAATTTAAGGGACTATTTTAAGGCTCAAAACCTTCGTTATTTTACCTCCCACACCCAAGTTGCCAGTCTGCCTCTTTGTCACCAACAAGCTGAGTTCTGTCATCACTGTTCACACAGAGCCATGATTAGACCCACTCCAGTTAGCTGGACTTCCACACGCTGAGATGCAGCTCAACATAAGGAAAAGATTAGAAACAGGATAATGAATTCAAGAAGCAGCAGTGCTTTGCTTTCACACTGCGGATTAGCTTCCTCCTTCCCATGGTGTACAGAATTCCTTCTATTCCCTTGTTCAGGACGGATTTAATCTGTTTACATCCATGACCGACTGGAGGGGTTTGCTAGCACGATCTATGATTTAGATGGAGCCTGGCTGCCCATAAACCCAACACTCCTTTCTCCTTGTGATAGCCGCTCTCATGACTATCTTGCATGCTCCACCACCTGGACTGGCCAGTGTTGCAATTTACTTAAACCTTTCCAGTCAGAAAAACAAATAGTGGGCAACAGATGTTTAGTACAGACTCACCAAAGATGTGATTAAACATCAACATATTATCAGACATATCACCCCATCAGTACTTTTCGCCCCTCTTTAAGACACCAAAGAAAACAACATTTTAACCCATTTTGTGCTTTAATGAATGTAGAGAGTAACACGTGCCTGCACTGCTTTCATTTGGCCCTACATGGCCATTGGACTTTGCCAGATGTCGTCTTCTCCAGATAAAATTAACTATGTATGTTTGAACCACTTTGCCTACACCACCCCTTGGGAATTCAGATGGTTAACAAAACTCACTGCATGCAGTAAAAAAAAAAATAAAATTGTGCTATTCAGATGCCACAATGGATTCAAGTTATAAGGCTTTTTCTCACTCCTCCCCCACCCCTTCAAACTAGAGCATATAGCAAACATCCCAGTTCTGATTTATTTGTTTGTTTCCCCAACCTGCTAGTGGCAACAGATGAAAAAAGCCCAGTCCTTGCATGACAAGCTATTTTAATATTTCATGCCCTAATGCGCCAGGAAGTTTGACGCTGAAACAAATGGTAAGAAAATCTCTCTAAAACTCCAAGAGGCCACAGCACACGCCACCTTCCCACTTTCTTTGCAAGACGCCTGAACATTATTTTCAACATTGTTCTAGTACTGCCCTGACTGACCTGTGCCTGAACAAGTTAACGTCTGGCTCCGACAAAGTTGCCAGAGGACTCCTGTCACGGGGAACACTGTCCCGTTCCTTCTGAAGGTTGTCCTCTGTCAAACTCTCTCCTTGTCCAGCACTAAAATATCGGAATAAAAAAATGTCTTCCAGTGCAAGAAAATTATGCCAGCATCCAATGAAGAAATAACCAAAATAGAAATAATAATGACGGAAAGAGAGTTCATCTCTCTCCCTTCACCCCTACTCTCTCTGGGAATCTTGCCGTTTCACAGAAGGGTCGCAGTGTTCCCCTTTCTGCAGGCATGAAACTAGCAGGGTCTGTCAGTCCCCACCAGTCACCTTTTCTGCACTGTGAAGGTGATCACAGGGAGCTCAAACACACCTTATCTCACAGCATACACAGCTACTTCTCTGAAACAGGTACACAGCA